GCCCGCCCGCCAGCCCCGGACCACTCAAGGCCCGTAATTGCTGTCGATTTTCAATTTCCGCCTCTTAGGCGCCTTGCCTTCCGGTCGCCGTCGACCGCCCCGCGCCCCGTCTGCAACTAATGGTCTCCAGTTTGGTCGAATACAGCAGCGCCTCTTCGTCTCTCTTCCCGCAGGCTCGACGGTCCTCCCGGCCTCCGCGTCGGCGCCCTCGATGCAGACGGCGCGCTCCATCCGGAGCATCGCCGGCTCTGGGACGGGCTCCGGGTCGGGGTCCGGGTCCGGGTCGGGGTCCGGCGAGGGCGAGGGCGACCTGCTCATCTCGAGCAGCACCCCGGAGGAGGACAGCAGTCCCTCGCTCTCGCTCTCGCTGGGCGGCCACCAGTCCGAGGATGACGGGTAAGAAACTCCATCAATGGACCACTTCCGAGTTTGTTGGATGGGTTCTTTGGCTTAACCCTTTGAACTAAAACATTTCCTCCGTTTCGTGCAGGTACATGAGCATGAACGGGAGGCGCAACAAGCTGGCGCTCAACTTCAGGCCGCACAACGGCACGGCGGGCGTGGCGGCCATCCGGAGGGGCAGCGCCGACATGCTGACGGCGCCGGACAAGCCGCTGCCGCCGCCGCCCGCCGCCGGGCTCGACGACGGCGCCGACTTCCCGCCGCCGCCCGAGGAGGCGCAGCGGCTCATCGCCCACCTGCTGCCCAGGGTGTCGCCCGTCGCCTCGATGCAGCGGGGCTTCGTCGGGCTGAGCGGCAGCCGCAGCAGCAGCAGCATCACCCCGCAGCGGCTGCAGCAGCAGCAGCTGGCCAACCTGCAGCAGGCTCGACGCCAGCTCGCGGCCCTGTCGCCCACCGAGCCCAGGATCACCACCGCCACCCAGACCACGCTGGTGGGTTCATCGTCACCGCGAGGACTGTTGTACGGTGTCGGGTGCACACGCCGAATCTCGCTCACGCCTGACGTTTCTACTGATGTTGCAGCCCATGACGAGGAATCAGAGGCCGTTTGGCTGGGAGAGCGACGGCTCGGGCAAACTGCCTCCGCCTGATCGCTTCGCCAGCCTGCCGTACGACTCCAACGGGCCCCAGGCGCACCGTGTCCATCAGCCGTCCTGGCTGCCGCCTCGACCGCTGGCTGCCACCGTCCACAGCAAGCGGATGGTGAGGATGATCAACCTTTGAAAGCTTTGCGCCCTTCATGGTGTACGGTGTACGGTACGTGTGTCTTGCTAGCGTCATTTGAAACCCACATTTGATTGCAGTCCACTGACGAGGAGCACTTCTCCGACGACTCGCTAGAGGATATGCCCCCACCGCCGCCACCCCCGCCCCTCGAACTGCAGCCTGACCCCGCCCTGTCCAAGCGGGGTAGCATCGCGTGGGAGGTGCCCCTGGACCAGGACCCCCTGGCGCTGGACGTGCCCGACTCTGTCCTCACCCCCGGCAGCACCAAGGTCGTCGGCAAGAGGAGGAGACGGCAGTCCACCGAAAACTCTAGTACGTTTTCTTTTCTTTTCTTTCCTGCAGAGTAACTTCTGGCCCGGTCTACCCTGCGTCCTCCTAACAGTCAATTTGTTCTGCAGGTTCAACAAGTTCCTTGCACAATCTCAAGGACCAGGACGACTGGCCGGACCCTCCCAGTAGAGAGCACGAGCCCACGTCGCCGTCCTCGTGCCTGGGCCACGACGAGGACCTCTACGACACGACCAGCAACTTCCTGCCGCCGTCGCTGTCGGCCAGCGACCTGTCCTCCAACGGCACCTACGTCATCCGCAAGGGGCGCAAGAAGGAGCGGAAGCCCATGCGGAACGTGGACAGTCTGCAGTACAACAAGGCCCGGCTGCAGCTCAAGTACGCCGAGTCGAAGCGCTGCAGCTACACCTTCGACGACCTGGTGGACATGGCGCTGTCCAGGGAAGAGGACCCGGAGGCGGACGGGCTGACGGACCCGCCCCCGGAGTTTTCCCCCGCCGGCGAGTACCCCCTCGTCAGGGTCGTCTCTCTGCCGTCCATCCCGCACGTCGAGGAGACGCTCCACGTGGTGGACGAGGCCGTCAACACGGACGAGGAGATGCGGCAGCAGGAGGAGCGGCTGATCCAGCGGCTGCAGGGCCTGGCCGTCACCCCCGAGGAGGACGAGCCGAGCAGCAGCCTCATCTTCAACGACGCGGACCACCAGGACGACTCGCTCGAGCCCATTAGTAGCATCGCCTTCGACAGCGCGCCCCCACCGCCCTGCGAGGACTTCCGCGACGGCGCGCCCCTCTCGCTCATCGAGGAGCAGGCCGAGAACGCCAACGACGCCGAGGACGCCGCCTCCGCGCACCACCGGGTCACCGTCAACACCCAGGTCGGCGGCAAGATGAGCACCAGGGAGCTGGACGAGATCGCCGAGATCCAGAACCGCAAGAAGCTGCCCCCGCCGCCCGCGGCGGACAGGTTCTCCTCCCCGCACGCCGACTACTACAACCTCAACAAGGACCGGATAGCAGAGAACTGCCGTATGGCGGACGTTAGGGAAACTAATCCAACCAAAGACCTGTACAGGCCGAGAAAGTCGGCTTCCTCCAACGACGTGTTCAGCGACACCAAGAGCTTCCCCGACCACTCTCACTCGCTGAGCTCGACCCGGGAGCGGGAGGATAGGCCCGTCTCCAGAAGATCCTCGACGGACAGGAGGCGGCACCACCAAAACATGGCCGCCGAAATGAACTCGGTCGAGCGGTGGAGGACTACCCAGGACATGAACCACGTTCAAGTGGTGCCCGTCGTGGAGAGGATCCCGCCGTACAGCCGGAACGGCGGCTCGGCGCACTCGAGCCTGAACCGCAGCACGGCCGAGCGGGACAAGGACAAGCAGGACGCCAAGAAGACGCACACCGTCACCGTGGAGGTGAACCAGCATGACTTCGGCCCGCTGCCGCCGTCCCCGGTGGACGAGTTCGAGGAGGACGAGTACTCCGAGATCATGCACCCGAGCCCGGCTGGCCGGGGGAAGGCCGACACCCTGCCGGAGCGGCCGGACCAACCCTTCTACCAGTGCCGGGAGCCCCTGGGCAGCGACCCCAGCGGCGCTCGGTACCTCCACAGGCCGCCCGAGCCGCCGCCGCACGGGCAGCGCGCCGCGGGGGAGAGCCGCGACCCCATGCACAGCCTCAAGACCAGGTCCATGGACGCGGGCTTCTCTAGGGGCTTCCGCAACTCTAGTCAGAGCTCCGCTGTGCGGCGAGAGGTAAGGGGACGCTAGGATCACACAGTTCGACCTGTAGGCTGGTCGGCTCCAACCCTCCAGTTGCACACAGATGTACCGCATGCACGGGTGCGGACGGGTTGCCTACTAGCTAGGGGCTTGAAGGTGTCGTTGTTGTAGTCAAAGGCAACAGGCAACCGCCCCGTACGCCTGCATGCGGCACGGTAAAACAAACTGACACTTTGTCAGGTGCTCCCTGCTGTCAATGTGGAGAGAGATTGACGTTAAGTTTTGGTACTGATTGATGTTCTCGTCTTGCAGTCACCGTCCACGGCGGAGCGGAGGACGCTCCCCAACGACCTCCCGGGGCCGTCCTCGCACGTGCGGCGGCGCGCCTTCCAGAAGCGCAGCTCGTCGTCGCCGCAGGAGTCCGGCCTGCAGACGTCGTGCTCGCTGCCGGAGACGCCCATCTTCGCGCGCGGCTGCGACATCCCGAGGACGCCGCACCGGCGCGCCCCGGACGTGCCGGCCGGCTCCAGCAGCTCGGCCAGCATGCGGGCGGGCAGCTCGGGCACCACGGCCTCGGCGTCGGGGTCCTCGTCGCGGCCGCTGCAGACCAGCAGCTACCACCGCAAGATGGGGCCCAACGGGCTCGGCCTCGGCCTCGGCACTGGCGTGAGCCTGGACTCGGGCGGCCTCGGCCAGGCGCTGGTGGGCGCGGAGCTGCTGCGCATGACGGGCGGCCCGGCGCGGGGCTGGTACCCGCGCCACCGCACGCCGCGCCCGGCCTCCATCGAGCACCTGGACAGGGTGGCGGCTGGCCCGCACCACAGCCCGGCGCTCTGGGACGCGCGCGACGCCCGCAAGCCCATGACGCTGCCGCCCAACATGACCCCCAAGTTCTTCCACCGGTCGCCGCGGGACGCCCTGCGCAGGGTCACCAGCCTGCTCATCAGAGGCAAAGGTAAGCCTGCTCCGCGAAGCCGTTTGAAACGCGCGCGCGCCGGGAGGGACCGTGGGTGTGGCCGCCGGAAGTGGCTCGTCGGGCTGGACCGGTGCGTCACCGACGGCGTGTTGCCAGCGCCGCCGGCCGGCGCCCGCCGCTGGCGCGGCCTCGCGGGCGCCGCGCCAAGCTCCGGGCCGCGAGTGACTAATCCCCGCGGAGCCACGCGGTGCGCGGCGCGGCCGCTAGATGGCGCCGCTGGTACGGGCCGCGGGGCCGCGGCGGCTCGCG